AATTTTTCCTGACACTTCAGCTGATTGTTAAAATCAGTTAACAATGTTATATATGAATTTACATGTGTATAAGACAGGAATAGGCAGGCACTAGGCTTCATACATCCTATCTGCAAACCTCAGATTCTCCCCCCGCACCCCCAAATTAACAGAGCTAACATTTTCAGAACTTTTTATATTGACCTAGAGGTATTAAGGGATGAAATAGACAGCTTAATATTCGACTAAACCATTCCCTTAACAGGGGGGAAATCCTAAATTGAGGCAGTTTACAAATGGAATTTTCCACTGTGGTCACATCACAATTTTATTAGCCGTGTCTCTGCAGCCCTAGGCAAGACACAAACTAAAACCTAATCCAAAGCTGAGCAAATTGCTCATCCCTGATTTAAATTCATTTTATTATGCCTTCAACGATGCTACACAATAAATCACAGATACATAATTTCCATCCTATTTTGTCAGATTGGCTGTAATGTAATGTGTTTGCTTTGGGATAGAGTGATAGAGATTAGTTACAGAGCTGGGGAAAGTGTCTATCTTATTAAAGAAGTTCTAAGTAGCTAAGCCAGGTTTAAGAGGTTTATTGCACTCTGGCACTATTGTAAAAACCATTTTATGAAACTGCAATAATTATTTGTTTGCCAACTAAAAAAACTGTTTTGTATAACTACATCAAGTCTAATTCGAAGTTCAGTTTATTCAAATGTACAACAGACTTACACTCTGATTTGCCGAATAGGTCCATATTTTCCAAAAATGTCATACATTTCTTCAGCTGTGATTTTATACGGTAAATTTCTGATATACAAAATTCGGTTGACTTCAGGTGGTAGACGGATCTGTATATAACAAGCATAACTTTTAGCAACATAAACATATATATATAAATATTTTTTTTCCACTATACTTTCAGAGTTCCCAGAATCTGTCTTTTAGAAAATAGAAACAGGCAAATTTCATAAGCTATTACAGATGTAAAAGCTTTGCTGTTCTCTCCCCCTCCTGTTTAATATATGCATAAAGCATTAGATGAGATCTTCTGCATGTTTGGGGTTCAGTATTACAAATAGGTGATGATGCTCAATTATGGCTCTTAACCCTAAACATGAGATGATATACCAGTATTTTTCGGACTATAAGATGCACCGGTGTATAAGACGCACCAGATTTCGAAGAGGTAAGTAAGAAAAAAAAGTTTTTTGTCCTCCCCGGCCCCCAGAAGCACTTTGGAGGCTTCAGCAGGGCTGGGAGACGGAAAAAGCACCCCAGTTTTTCACCAAAACGGGAGCATTTTTCCCTTCCCCCAGCCCTGCTGAAGCATGCAGAGTGCTTCTGGGGGCCGGGGAAGGCAAAAACACCCAATTTTGGTGAAAAACGGCCCGTTTTTCGCCCATTTTTCAAAAAATGGGATGCAGGGGCGGAGCTTTAGGAGGCCAAAAATGGCTGTATTCAGTGTATAAGACGCACCAACATTTCCACGCTCTTTTAGGGGGGGAAGGGTGCGTCTTATACTTCAAAAAATACACACAATATATTCCAATACAAGTTAATTCCTTATATTCTACTACCCACAATAACTGGTTCTAGGTGTCAATAACTGAACTGCAAATGTGGCTGCCAATCACGTGTTACATTGAACTCAGGGTGCTTATTAACACAGTATTATATTCACCTGAGTCCAGTTGATGGCAAGCTGTACAACCAAAGCTGAAGAGACCCACAAGTTTCTCTATTCCCACCCTATCCAAAAAAGCACTTCTCCTTGTGCCATATCCGTCATGGGCATTGGCGATCATGTTGGCAATCCTGTTTTTGTCAACAGCCGCATTAAAAAGTGCTAATGAGTTTCATCCAAACCAGTCCCTTAGGTTTTGAAGCCTCGATGTTCTTCTTCTGCCTGGATCTCGTTGCCTTCAATTTTTCCCTGGAGGATTAAGTGAAGTATGCCATATTTTTCTGGGCGTTGCATCCCATGTCCAAAATATTCTAACTTTCGCTTTTTAATGGCTTTGATGATTTCCCTTGGCTTTCCCAGGCAGCTTATCACCTCATTTCTTATTTTGTTAAAAGCACGCCTAATTTTAATTGTGTTTATGATGTTACTGGTTGCTGCCTTATGCAGCAATCCTGGGGGGACCATGTTCCCACATTCAACACCGGCCATAATGGCAGGAGAGTTATAGATGCCAACGGCCAATCTATTTATGGGGCGCAGGTCCATTCAGCCCACATCCCCTCCAAAGAAGCTCTCGAGAAGGCCGGGACTACAATTCCCATCACACATAACACAGTTGTGGATGACGGGGATATTAGCCCAGATGGGCGGGTACGAAATCGGGAAAGCTGCCGGCTTCCCCGATCACTTTCACGTTTTTTCTTCTTTTCCCAAATGACAAAAGGCAGCAAGTTAAGGGAGAGAAAAAAAAGGGGGGGGGCTTCAAAATGGTCGCCCTGCCCGACTCACATTCGCGCGTTTCGCCGCTTGCATCGCCATGGCAACGGTCCTCGGATACTTCGGGTTCACCCACCCAAAAAAAAAAAAAAAAGGACACCTCGGTAGACGCCGAAACCGCCGAACGCAGAGAAAGTACGCCAAAGCCCCCTGCGTTGCGCTACGCCTCACCCGGAAGAAGATCAGACTTCCGGCTGTTGCACTTTCTTCCTCCGCCCACCTCAAATGGCTACATAGGGGTCCACGCTACCACGATTTCCGGTTCCGATTAACCATCTACTACAGTGTCAGAGTGGGAGGGGTTTTCTGCCTTGTACCTATATTCTTAAACTGGGACACGCGAAGAATATATATATTTTGTAGATGGCTTGGAAAGAATCATGCTTTTTCCGCCACCAGCATTAATCCCCCAACTTGAAGCAGAATTTGGGAGTGGGTCCATTCATTATTTACCTGGCTTTGTGATACGTAAAAAAAAAAGAAGTGTATGATCCGTTGCTGCTCAAAAAAGAGTCGTTTCTTCGCTTACCTGAATCAAATGTACCAGAGTACAATGAAACAGACGAACGGTTTCAAAGAAAGGCTACATGGATGATCAGCAGATTAGAAATTAAGTCCTTTGAAGAAATGTATGTGGAAGCACTTTAAATAATCCGAAAAGTTGTCTCAAAAGAAGAAAATCAAGGTCCATTGTTCCAGAGCGCAGGGCCAAGAATGATGGGTTTATTTTATGGAAAAGCAGATTCTGAATGATATTGGGAGTGACTTCTTTTTTTAATTGTTACTTGTTCTTTTGTTGCTTTTATAATAATGAAAGAGAAACGGGGGAGACGGGGACTCCACAAAGATATATGCATTGTCAAATGCACAGATTCTTGCATTGTCAAAGAAAAGGGGAAAACATTTCTTTAAAAAGGAAAAATGCAACAAAAAAGGTATAATGTATCATTTTAATGGTAAATAATTACAATTCTATATACAATCCAAGTGTGTGTAATACATTTATATAATTATATTTTATTAACATTGTATTTTGTATAAATACAGTCCCATATTTCATATTTGTCCATGCGAAATCTAGGTCTACAGGTAATCTGCTCATAGGTGGCAAATACAAACATGTCTTCAACCAATTGAAGGAAAGGAGCCATACATCTTTCCAATACTGCAATATCAGTTTTTTGACTATAGTAAAGGCATAGATAATCCATTTACTTTGTTCAGTTATCAATTTTAATGTAGTTCAAAAATACCTAAAACGGTTTCCTTTTGTGCATAATTATATTTATATAATCCAATATTTTCTCCCAAAACTTGGTAAGTAAAAAGACATCACAAAATCCAGAGTTTTAAAGAAATATGATTTGCATATTAAGTATGATTTTTACCTGCTTTTAATATAACTAGTATAAGCCTGGTTAAATGCTGGTGATAAAATTCCCTGATCAAACATCTCTTCATATATTTGACAAATTCTTTTTCCCAAATGTTCTATAAATTTTTTATACTATTCAATAGGAAACATGTTTAGTCCTGATGTTTTCACAGATATTAGAAGAGGCTTCTTAACAGTAATAGCAGTTCTATGTGTATCATCTATGCACATGTATCATGTATATGTTAAATTTCCATCCAAATCCTTGCTTTTGACAGCAGCATACAACAATAAGGGGGAAAATTGCACTCATGTGACTTCTTCCTTGAAGTGGCACTAGTTAGGAGCTGAAGTCCTATAATTTAGCCATGAGATGGCAGCAACAGAATTGTTCTTAGGGTGTTTTCAAAAAGCAACTAGCCTTTCTTGATTTTTTTCTCTTGAAAATGCTTCATCCAAGAAGCTTCTTCAGTTCAGAATTGAAGATTTTGTTACACTTTTGTCTATGGGATACCTCTTAATCTAAACTAATCATCATGCAGGGATGCCTACTTTGGGCTGATCTGCTTAGCCATCCTCTAACATCTAAAATAGCTACTGTAGCTATATTCTTCATTTATTTTTACTGCTCTGTAAAATTCATGGCTGAAGATGAAAATAAAATGTTTCATATAAATAACCTCCATGTGGTCTGAAGAAATGTTCTTTTAGATCTTACAGCCCATCATTTTTATGATCCAAAGACATTGGGCATTATGGCTCTAAAGCACAGTGATACCAATACCTCAATTTTAATAGTTTTTTTGTGTGTGTTTGTGGTCCATGCATTGTAAAACATGGTTGCCCATTGATCTGCTTTCAATTAATTCAATTCCCAGAACTCTCTATCCACAGTTACTTTTCCTGGCAAGAAAAATGGCAGCAAAGAACTATGAAGATAAACATTTACTATTTTTTCTTCCTTCATTCCCTAAAAACGGCCATGGCCCATGTAAAACAATAGAGAGCAATGTGGATGTCAGTGCTTTTCAAACCGGACAATTTAAACAATGTGTGGACCAGCTCTCAAAATGCCTCGTGGTGCCTTGAGAACTTAGGGGGGAGTGTTGAAGTCCACACATCTTAAAAGTTGCCAAGTTTGAGCAATATTGCTTTCAATCTTTCCGAATCATGTTCTTCAGTCTTGCAGGTATAACATCTTGCTGAAAGCATCCACGTGGCAAGTTTCTGGTTTGAGCCACCACTGTATTCTTAGTGGATAACTTTGGGAAAGTCACTTTTGCTCATACTACCCTATCTCTATCATAACACTGTCGGTCTAAAGATAAAAAGAGGAAGACCCTCCACCTGGGCCACCTTGAACTCATAGAGCAAAGGAAGGATAAAAATGCAAAAATAGGCAAAATCTGGGACTGTTTTCCTCGCAAGTAAAAAATGATTTTTAAAATGTTCAAATTCTTTTGGTTTCAGTTGTTTCTTGTATCTGGTGTTAGAAAGTTTCAAAGCTGAAGAGGAAAGGTCTGCAGAATCGACTGCAGCAGTGATGCACCCTTACACATACACAGTTTTTAAGCTTTAAAGTTTATACACAACACTTTTAAGTACAGTTAGTCCTCAACCTACGATCGCAATTGAGCCCAAAATGTATGTTGCTAAATGAGAAATTTGTTAAGTTTTGCTCCATTTTATGTCTTTACTTGCCACAATTGTTAAGTGAATCACTGTGATAGTTAAATTAATAGCACGGTTAGTAAGTGAACAGTCAGTTTTTTCAGTGCCACTGTAACTTCAAATGGTCACTAAACGGACTTACAAGTCGAGGGCTACCTGTATTTCACAGATGCTTTCAAATCACGTCTATGATTCTTTTTCCCTTTCTTTCTTTCCTTCCTTCCTTCCTTCCTTCCTTCCTTCCTTTCTTTCTTTCTTTCTTTCTTTCTTTCTTTCTTTCTTTCTTTCTTTCTTTCTTTCTTTCTTTCTTTCTTTGGAACTACTTGCCTTCA